ATTTATATTTTTATCAATACTTGAAAAAAATTATAAAATGACGAGTATGACAATTGTCACTTTTCTATGGTTCGTCTTCGCTGGAATTTTAATTTAATATGTTTACAAAATATGTTCCCATTTGTTAAAAAAAATTTAAAAAAGTTTTGGAAAGTTAAGAATATGACAATTTTCACTTTTCTTTGGTTCATCTTCGCTGAAGTTTTAATTAGATCTCTCAAGATCTAGGACCACCCAAGATGATCAATTAGTGAGTTAGCCTCATAATTAAAACAGCATTAACTTTTCCAAACCATAATTATAATATCTAAATGTTATTTATTATTATATTTATTGGAATAGACTCTAGTAGGCTCTTGATCAAAAAAAAAACAAACTATATTTCAGGTAAGATGAAAAAAAAACGACCCAAATTTTAGATTGAATAGAAAAAACAGACCACAGAGTAGAAGTCGTAAAAACGAGCCGAACTTTGAGTCAGAGTCGAAAAAAAGATCCAGATTTTGTGCGGAGTTGGTTTTTCGGCTTTGACTCAGGTCAAGGTAGAAAAAACTTTCCTAATCTTGAGTCGGAGTTAAAAATAACGATCCAGATTTGGGAAAATGTTACCGATTAACAGCATTAGGAGCAACCAGAGCCAAATTAACCATTCCAAATATTTTAGGGACCGGGTCTAAATAAAAAGTGTAAGAAATTTATGAATAAATTGTTTTTTAGGGAATTCTACACTTCTCCCTTATATCTCTAGCCAATGAAGAGACAATATCATACTTTTTATAATTTTTTGTCTCCTAGGTTGAAACTAATTTCCTGTCAAAAAAATCGCATGTCTTATAAAAAAGAAACGTTAAAAAAAAAACTCTGCCATAAAAAATTTGCTTGGCATTAAAATTATTAATATGCCTTTTATTTCGTATAACTACTTGATCGGCAGCGATGATTATAATATGTGCGATGAAAATAATTAAAACATTAATTGAATTGATTTTTACAGAGTTGTTAAAGTAGCTCGCTACTTGTAGCGCGCTACTTAGCGCGCTATCTTTTTTGGTAGCTATAGCTAATAGCCGCTACTTTTTTTAAAAAAATATAATGAATGTAAGTATAAACATGAAAATTTAAATATAATATCATAATTAATTATAATTTTTATAATTTATTATTTAATTTGGAAATTTAAATATATTTTCAATTTTTAATTTATATTTTCAATCTGTGTTAATAATCTAAAATGGCATCGCCCATGGATATCCAAATTCTTGAAAGTGATTCAGACATGGAAGATTCAATAAAAGAAAATGTACTTAATAGCTCTAATAACGATTTCCCATTCCCTAGATTTGAAAAATTTTTTTAAATAAATATTAAAACAAAATCTGGATACAAATTCCTGTGCTTAAAATGTAAAAAAAATATATCATCAAATCAATCGAGTAGCTATAACCTGAAACACCTAAAGGTAAATTGTTATTTTTACATTATAATATTATTTATTTTATTAGACTGTTCACGCCAATTGCTATAAGGAAATAGAGAAACATATAAAAAAATTTGGTATAGGAGAATCTTCATTCAAAAAGACAAATACTATCCAAACCAAATTAACTGATAATAAACATGCCAATATTTCACAAAAATTGGCTGATAAAGTAATTGTTGATTTTATTATTGACACAGTTCAACCATTGTCCTTGGTTGATAATCCATCATTTATTATGATGATTAAAACTTTATCCCTGGCACAACAGTTTTATGTCGCCAGACACTTATGAATAAAATAGACGACAACTTCAAAGTGATGAAAGATGCTCTAATAGTAGAGTTATCAGATATATCTTATGTATGTACCACGGCAGATAGTTGGACACATAACAGAAGGTAAAAACTTATTTATATTTATAAATTGATCTGATTAAATATTTTTAGAGCTTCCTTGCCCTCAAGTGCTAGTGTCGAGAGATTATTTAGTAAAGCAAAGCTTATACTTTCTGATAGTCGCTCTAGACTTGGGGATGATAATATTGAAATGATATTATTATTAAAATGCAACAAATTAAAATAAATATTTATTTATATTGCTTATTTTTTTATAATCTAAACTAACTATATTTTTATATTTTTAAATGTTGATTTTTATATATTATTTATTATACATTTACATTATAAGCAAAAAAAAAATAAAAAAAATTTGTTTCTAAAATTTTTTTTATAAAAAGTAGATTAAAAGTAGCTAAAGCTACTTTTGAAAAAAAGTAACTAATAGCGCGCTACTTTTTTTGACAAATAGCGAAAGCGGTAGCGCGCTCCTTTTTTTGACAAATAGCTATAGCGGTAGCGCGCTACTTTTAAAAATAGCGTTTAACAACTCTGGATTTTTATATGAATTTATATATTTGAAAAACATCGATTATTGTAAATTTTATTATTAGTACAAATGGAAAATGATTTGATTCATTTTTGAATAGACCTATTCTATATTTGGGCCTCAAATGAATCAGTATTTTTTTATAGAAAACAGGATAGAAGGATTTGATCAAACTTATTTAAATAATATAGAATCTATATATTCTAAACAACCATTTATATATATAAATTTATTTAGTTTACAATATTCACAACATAATAATGATACGTCATTGTATTTGTTTAATGATTTTGTTACTAATTATTATTCCTAGAACTAATGCATGCTGTAAGTTAGTTATAAATGAATTATTTTTTTTAAAAAAAATTATTTTTATTGTAGATGAATAAATTCTATCTTATTAATAACTATTATTTATAATAATTAGGAAAAGAATAGTAAATATGGCATAATATAATTGTGATATCTCTAAATAAAAACTAGTCTTATCAACCGAGAAGCAGGGGAGAAAATTGTTGAAAATGTATTTGATTGAGTAGCAGGGGTTAGATGAATGTATCAGAGTTTAGTTTATAAAAGGGAATAAGGCTGTTGATTAAATAATATAGTTTGAAATTGTTGTAGCATTAACTTTTCTCTTAACACTTGAAATATACATACATTTTTATCAATAATCCTTAGCATATTTTTAAGTTCTTTTACAAATTTTAGTCACTATATGACCAGGGAAGGGAAATAAAATTTGCTATTATATATCTTGAGGAGGGACGGGTTCAGGGAATAGGCAGTAGGCAGCCAGGGGTATGGATTAAAAAAATATTTTTAGGGGATAAATAAAAATTTTGCGAAAATCATAAAAAATTGCCAGTATTTTTTTCCATGAAACTGCTTTAACCTATGCGCAATTTAACAAAACCTTCCTTTTCACAAAGTTAAAAAACTTTAATAAACTTATTTTAAATTTCTTTTTAATTTTTTAAATAAAAAAAATATTTTGGACATGCTATTATTTTTTTTTTCATAGCCAGTAATCTCTTGCCCGCCACCAGTTAGAGTCTCCAAGATTATTGTCTATAGTTTAATCGTTTACCAGAGGAAGAATTAGCACGACGGAAATTAAAAAATATTGGCATTCTCTCATTTAGGAATTTTGATTATTAAACGTGAATTCTTTGCTATACAAATGTATACAAAACGATTAATTATTTTGTTTGTTCATTTTTGTTTATAATCATGATTTAACGAGAATGAGCATGCGTCTTCAAAATTTTAACCTTCGAGATTGAAAAACGTAATGTTAAAGTATTGAGTATCTGCATAATTGTGGGTAAATTTTACATCCGGTAGCGTGAGTGGGTATACAGGCCTGTGCCCCATCTCTATGTTATATATAACGTAATATTTTTAAAAATTGATGAATTTAAATCAAATTTGGTTAAATTATTATATATATTTTTTTTTCCCCCATTTGTATAAATATCGGTTGTATTGATATCGGTGCATCTATGATATTAATTTTTTTTTATTAGAATTCATTTTTAAATGTATGTGAAGAAGCATAAAATAAAAAGGCAAAAATTTCTTTAGGAAAGGGGAGCCCCAAATGCTCTTTATCCTCCATATAGTTCAATTATTTTTTTGGCTTTCTTGTTGTATCCTATTAGCTTATCAACAAAATTTATTTAACATAATGCACATTATTATAACATATAGAGAATTGGCTGAAGAAGTGAATTGGAGGAAATTTTATTTACAAAATCCCCCAAGTTAAGCAAGTGCGAAGAAAAAATATTTCCACGCCAAATTAAATAAGGCATATTTGAGCCTAATAATCAAGGCATATTGAATCATTTAGCAATTCTTTCAATTAAAAAAATGAAATTTTGAAAATATGGAAATTGAAAACGTAATTGATAATTTTGACGAAAAAACAATATATAAACAAAGGAAAAATGTTAAATTTCGGAATAAAATGTATAAAAAAAATTAACTTCACTACCCAGATGAAATAAAAAATTTTTAAAAAACTATATTTCTAAATTAATAATTTTTCAACATAATGGCTATGATAAGAATTTTTTAGAAAAAAATATTTAAAAAAATGAGTGATAATCGGGATCTAAATTTATCATAAATAATAAATGGCTGCAGTATTTGCATGCACTTATGCATGGTATGAAGGTAGGTGACAGGTCTCTATTTTAACTAAAACCGTTATGACGAGGATGATGGTTTAATTTAAAATAATTATACAATCTGGAGAGCTTGCTACTATTATAGTATGAGTGATAACTTTGAAATGAGCAAACGATATGTTTTATAAAATATTTAATTTAAGAATAATTACTTCTTAGAGTAAATGACAATTTATTGATAGGGGAGACCGAGGGTTATATGATCCATAAAAAATTGAAGGACCATAAAAAGAGCAGGCAAAACCGATTTATACATAATATAATTCTTTACATATAGGGCACTATGGTAGGAATTGATAAAATTTAATAAAATATAATAAATTCAGGAATTTTGAAAAGCATCTGGGATACCATATCTTTTAATTTTGACATTTCTCTGCTATATTTTATTAATTTTTATATAAATGTGTTTATCCTAAATGAAAATATATTATTCAAATATGATAAATTTTTATGATTTAAATGTTAAATCTCAAGGTATATTAGGTTTCAAATAATTTCATACCTACCAGGAAAACTCTTCACAGGTTTCCCCTAATTTGTATTTTTAAACGGCTCTCGATTTAAGCCGACTAAATTAAAACGGCTAATATTTTAGGCAATATATTATTGCCTAAACCTCTATTTTGCTAATAGATGTCCAAATCTTTGGGCCATCAATGATTAAAACTTCAGGCTTGATTAATATTTATATGGATAAAATATTTCGCCGTTTATAAAAATCGGTTCAAGTCGAGCCTTTAACAAAACCCCTAATTTTGTTTCTATTTATGTTTTTATGTTTTTCATTTTATTTACAAACAAAACATAAATCAGTTGACAAAAGCCATAATCATCAACAAGGTGAGTCATATATTTTTAATTTAATTATATTATATCATATTATTCGAAACTTAAAAAATAATAACGGTGTAATATTGTTATTCCAATATATTTGCATATAAACTTAAAATCAGGTGGTTACAACCATCATCCCCAGCCGCCTCAAGGTGAGTCATTTAATTTAATTCTATTATTATATTATTCAAACGTTTAAAAAAAGTTTTAAGAAATAACATTGGTAATATAAACTTAGAACCAGGCGGTTACAACTACCGACCTCGACCCAATCCCATGTTACACAATCATTACTATTTAAATTTTAAATTTTTTTATAAATTACCAATATTGTTATAGAAAAAAACAACTGTCCATTTACATATTTTAACTTAAAATCAAATGGTTAAAACTATCCCTAACCTAAACCCAGACCCGTGTTACCTTAAGGTGAATCATGCATTTCAAAGTTAAAAAAAAATTATAAGATACAAAAATATATAACAGTCATTTTCATTTATTTGCATATATATAATGTATCAGGTGGTTACAACTATCCACGACCCGAATCCAGACCTAGACCTCACGGTGAGTCATATATTTTTAATAAAATCATTACTATTCAAACTTTTTAAAAAAATTATAAAATATATTCACATTGATAAAGAAAAACTGTCACATTCTTTTATTTACATATATAAAATGCAAATAAGGTGGTTACAATTATCCCCGACCCAACCCGCCGCAAGGTGAGTCATATATTTTTAATTCTATTCCAAAATCATTATTATTCTTTAAAAAAAATTAAAAAATACTTGCACATTGGTAAAGAAAAACTGTCACATTCATTTATTTACATATATAAAATGCAAATAAGGTGGTTACAATTATCCCCGACCTAAGCCGCCACAAGGTGAGTCATATATTTTTAGCCACCTCAAGGTGAATCATTTATTTATAATTCAATTCAACAGTCATTACTATTCCAATTTTGCAAAAAAATTATAAAATACTTACTCATTGAATAAAAAAAAACTGTCATTTTTATTTATTTGCATAACCCAGGTAATTTTAACGGTTATCCCCCACCTAGACTCTATCCACCTTCATGTGAGTCACGTGTTTTTAATTCTTATAATAATAATAATAATAAATAATTTAAAAAATTGTTCTTTTTATTTATTTGTAAACAAACTTTTACCAGGTGGTTATGGTGGCAACTGCAATCCTCCCCCTCCATGTGAGTCACGTGTTTTTATTATCAATTCTCGTACTATCATATGATTCACACTTAGAGAAATTAAATTTATGAATAATGCCTTATAGTGAGCCCGATTTACACAAACGATGCGAAATTATTCGTGTGTAATTTACAAAAGCAAGGCCAATAAATATGCATAAGAAAAATGATGAAATGGCTACAGCTGTTTAACGTATATATTCAAAAAGTATTACAGCTATGGCAAATCAGCTGTGATTTCGCTAGGTATTAATTTCGCATCTCTAGAGTTGAGAAAACCGCGCTTACTGTAAATGCAGCGTAATAATTTCTATTTATTCTTCACTATATTAAAATAAAAATATTTTTTAAAGATAATCCAATAATTATTCCTACCTTCACTGTACCGCAGCCTCCAGGTAAGCCATATTTTTAAAATTTTATTTCTACTATTATGCTAATTACATTCATTCATTTAATTAATAACATTCGTCAAAAATTGACATTTTCATTTATTCTTTTCAACGCTTTATAATTTAAAATATATTTAAAGTTACACAGCCGCCACCTCCACCTCCGCCACCTCCACCTCCACCACCACCACCTCCACCTCCACCACCTCCAACACCTCCACCACCTCCACCAACGCTGCCACCGCCACCGCCAAAAATTATAATTACTGTACCTCCAACGACTAGGAGTGAGTCAACTTTTATTTCAATTCTACACCAATTGAGTAATAGTAAATTCTAATATTTGTATAGTACGAATAGCGAATAATTTAAAAGAATCGAATACGAATAATTAATTATTTGATCCTTAAAAAAATGTTATATATATTTATTTTTTAAAACCTGTAACACAAGCCCAATTTACGATGACCTATGCGAGTGAGTCAATTTGTGTTTTTTTATTACATTTTTTAAATATAAAAAATTTGTCAAATAGTCAGTTCCGTCCCTAACATTTTTTTTCCGCCTTTAATAGACTCCTGCGTAAACGAGAGAACGCCTTCTAGTGGTTAAAAAAATTATTTAGGGAGGCTCTAAATTTTGATTATCTTGGAATTAATTATTTCCGCTTTTTTGCTAATTTTGATTACGATTTTATCTTCTTTTGACAATTTAAATTTAAATTTCCATTTTTTTTGGTAATTTTTTATTTATATAAATACAAATTTAAATTCGAATTTTCTTATCATTTTTATCTAAATTAAGGTTTTTTTTAAAGAGGGATTTCCTTTTCACAATCGGGGGCCAAAATGTTTTAGCAGAATTTAGATTTGTTGCAAAAAAATAAAATAAAGGACACGCTTTAGATTTAACGTATATAACTATCAGCCTCCATTTCTTTTAATTCAAATAAGCCGCCACTTTCTCACCCCCCCCCTCTCCCCCACTTTAATTTTTTTGTGTCGCTTATAGGTAATATCTAACAAAAGTAAGCAGGAAAGAATAAAACTGCATATAGTATTAGAAAAAAAATTTGGTTATAAATTATTTTTATTTTTCTTAAACAGAAGAGACTCTTAGTACTATTCCATGGTGGAAAATCACGAAAGGTAAATCATTTTGTATTTCTAATTAAATTCTGAAATTATTTTTTGTAAAGGCGGTGTTCAAAATATAAAAAAAAATTTATTAGCAAACTCAAAATTTTATCGAAAAAGAAGAAATAAGTTTTTTTTTTAAATATAAAATTCAGGCGCGTACGCAGGAATTTGGTCTGGGGGGGGGGGATAATAAAATTTTTTAAGAACTATTATTGTTTTTTAAAAATATCAAGCATAAATTTTTTAGGACTAATAACTATTTCTAACACACAATTTTAAATTTATGTGAATTATAAAAATATTATATGTAAAGAATCACTTAAACAACCCAAAATAGAAATTTGAATTTTTTAAAGTTTCTTAGGAATAATTGCATTAAAATCCAATCTTCGTTTTGATTCAGCTAATTTTTCAATTATCTCATCCTTGCTTGTCGTCAAATGCCTATGAATATTCAAAAGATCCAAACCTTTCAATCTACTTTCAGATGTTGTACTTCTTGGTATGTTTTTCAGAGACCTGCAGGCCCGGTTCCCGGGCTGGACAGTATTTTAATTTTTTTAAATATACCCGGGCCGGGCCCGAAATTTTTTTAAAGAAACACCCAAGCCGGGGCTGAAAATTTTATTTTAAAAAAAGCCGGGCCGGACCTGAAAATTTTTTAAAAAAAGCCGAGTCGAGCCTAAATATTTTTTTAAAAAAACCGGGCCGGGTATGAAAATTTTTAAAAAAAACCCAGACCGGGCCGTAAAAAATCTTTAAAAAAATCCGGGCCGTGCCCTGCAAATGGTACTTCTGCAGGCCTCTGTTATTCTTAAAAAAGAGAATGTTCTCTCATTAGTTTACTAATGGGAAGAGTTTATAAACCCTTTTAATACATTGGGAATTTGATCTAAAATGTGTTTGAAATAATGCAGAGCATCCATAGCATTTTTTGGGACTATATCAACCATTGTTAATCTTATAAACAAAGTTATTCAGCTAGTAAGGCATCATAAGATACTTTAACATCTTCGTAATAAAAATCTAACAAATATTTTTTTTTCTATCACCATCTGAAAAAGGTTGGGAAGGCTTTTGTTGAAGTAATATTTGCAGATTAGTAAGTGCTGCATGATGAATTAAAAATTCATTTATTTGGGTTATAAATGTATCTGTATTTATATATACTCTTCTACTTATCCTATATTAATGTTTTAACGATGAGCTTGCCTTGCTACAAGTCGAGGGAGACAAATATTAAACACGTATAGCTCAGCTTTTGACTCAACAATAAAATATGAAATTCTTCATCAACATTAGCCCTAATTTCCTTGAGTTCTGATAAAATGCTCTCCGCTATTCTCATCTTCTTAATCAAGTCAATGTCATGTTTTTGAAAAGTAATACTTAGTTGTATAATTAAATAATACATTCTAATGAGAAATAAAATTTGTAATAAGCATTGAATCCAATAATTTTCTTGCTTCTGAGGAAATATTTCTTTCAGGCCATTGTGATATTTCAGTAATAGCAAATAATTGGCTCTTCTAACTCCTTAAAAGCTGTTACTGCTTGATGGCAGAGACTCTATCTCGTTGGAGAAGGTTGTAATTTCTTTTTCCCTGTTGGACAAGAAGTTTCAGAAATAATAATTATTTGACTAATTTGAAAATGGTAGATAAATATTACGCCACTAAAAATTTGAAAATAATAAGTAAATATTACGCCGGAAAACTTGAAATCGAAATTAATTGATAAAATAACTTAGTAGATAAATGTGATAATAAATGCAATTAAATATATATTTAATATGAGATACGAATAAATATTAACAAATATAGATTAATATAAACAATAATATTTTTGAAAAATATATCTGGCATCTGCATTTTTTGGCTTTGGGGGGGGGGGGGGGGGGAAGGCCCCGCTGCGTACGTCAATGATAAAATTAAAAACATGTCCGATGATTTTTTTTATAAAATTTCAAATATTAGCGATTTCATTAAAATTTTAAAACTTACTTCTAATAATTTTGAAATTTTCAAATATTTTAAAAAAAATTTTGGATATAGCCTACACCATAGAAAAAATTATCAATTATTTGTACAAGAATTATATATATTTTAAAATTTTATTTTTAATGAATGTCTCAAAACCACAAGTCACTACCAGGCCACCACCCATTCTAGGTTATTAATTTTGTGTTTGTTTTTTTCTAAATCTGAAAATCATATTTAGGCATTGATAAAAAAAAAATTTTTTAGATAAATATATTTTATTATATTTATTCTTTCATTATAATAAATTTTAATCAAATATCTTTAAAGTTGAACGTGGGCCAGAAACTACATCGCACAGTCATAAAACCCCTGCATGTGAGTCTTTTCTTTTTGTATATGTTCAAATATTTATTAATTTAAAAAAAATGGTATACTGATATATTTTTCAAAAAATAGGTATGTATTAGAGACTTTTAGTATTTCTAATCAGCTCTTTACGAGCCCATTGGCCTTTATTTAGGTTCAAAATTAGGCTCAGTCTCGGAAGCACAATGATTACAGATAGGGGCGCCGATGGGCTAGCCAAACCATTTAACCAAATAATTACCCATTCATGTTACAGTTAAGTGGAAACCGGGGCACAGCGAACCAGATATAAATAATTATAATTAAATTAAGATAATGTGTCTATATTATATAATTTGATAATTCATAAAAGTTATCTGTTCATTTTGCTTTAAATTTTAAAAAAAATCTCAGAAAATAAAATTTAAATGAAGCATTTTAAATAAAAAATAATTCTTAAAGTTTTTTTCTGCCTGCATCTTGATTTCATAGAATAAAATCCTCACATGAAATTTTTGAGTAAAATTTTTGGGTAAAATTTTTGGGGCTATAATTAGGAGTATTATGAATTGCCTCTCAATTTTTTACATATATCAATCTATAGTATTTTTTATATTTGAATCTAATTTAAGATATTTTTCCCAGCTTTAACAGTTTCCTAAGTTGGGTACTGCAATTCTAGACCGACGATTTATTATAAAAAATATATATAAACTATTATATAAAACATTAAAATAATTTTTAAAAAGCAAATAAAAAAAGAAATAACATGTTACCCTAGGGAAATGTATAGGAAATTAAACAGCATATTCCGAGGAAATTCTATTGGCGGAAGTAAAATCCCTTATTGGAGTAATTTCTAATGAGTCTCCTTTTTTGATCTATGTTTTCATGAGAATGCATGTCTTTTCCTAGGTAGATATGTGGCAATACCATCAAATAAAGGCCGCCACTGGGGACTCCGCTCTAACCAAAGCCTTAACTACGCTTATCCTTCCACTCATATCTAATACAGCATCATAGCTCCAGTGGCATACCAGGATTTATCCATAGGGGGAATCCTTTTGTGGTTTCTTTATATCTCATTGAAGGTGACCGACTAATTGGAAGTATTAATTCCAAGATATGTCAATGTTTTGTGCTTTATTAATGTCTAACCAGTATATAGTGAAGGTCAACGGTCCGGTCCTATCGGTCTTAGACCAGGAACGGACCGGGCCGATTGTTGGACCGATCTTTTTGTTGAGGACTGTGGTCCGGACCGGTCTTTTATTGATATTTAACTTTACTTTACTATTCAATTAACATAATTTTTTTGTATATTTTATTTTATGATATTTTTCTAGAGGAGTTATTTTAGATTTTGTTAATTTTTTTTTACAATATGAAAACCATAAGTTTGTCCAAGAAATATTTTACTTATAGTCTTAATAAAAAACATAGAATATGTGTCACTGTAATACCAAATTTAACATATCGTCAGCAACAAGTAACAAAATAATTGTTTATAATTTTTTAAGCAATAAATTAATCAAAATAAGCAGTATTATTATTAAAATATTTTGGTTATTATTTATATATCTATTTTTTCTTAAGAAACTGTCTGAATAATTCATTGTCAAAATAATTTAACCTTATTCTTAATAAAATAATTAGGTACCTTAAGCAGACATTTGATAAAACATAAAATTTATACTTCTAATAATGAAAATGGAAATATCTCAAAAACACAATCTACTCTTAATTTAAATATGCCCTCCACAAGTACAAAATCACTTTATACCATTGGATAAATTCCAAACAGATCATATGAACCAACTCATAATAAAATGGGTAATAATGGACTCTCTGCCAATGAAGACTTGAAAGTTCAGGTCTTCATAATTTAATCGAATATTTAAACTCAACTGCTACAATTTGGTCAAAAAACAAAGTTAAAAATTTTTATACAGCTAATTTTGAGAAACTAAGAAATTCTCTTAAAAATAATTCTTTAATAAGCTTTACCACAGATATGTGGAGCAATATAAATAAAATTTCATTTATAGCCATTACTGCACACTATATTGATTCTTCTTTTACATTAAAAAATATTTTACTTGTTATAAATCATATCCCATTTCCTCATACTTCTGAAGAAATATCCTTAGCTATAAAAGAAGTAATTGATGTATATCAATTGGAGGAGAATATACTGGCCTGTACTACAGATAATGCCAATAACATCCTAAAAAGCATGGATATTTTGCAGAATATTTATAAGGAACAAAAATTTAAAGGCTTTAGATGCTGTGCCCACATTCTAAACCTAATATCTCAGGAAGGTTTATCATATATTACAACTATCCTAGAAAAGTGTAGAGACATAACCTTTTCTATAAATAAATCACCCAAAATAAATCAAGCATATGTACGAATATGTGAAAATAAGGGTATTACAAAATTTAAAATCCCTTCTGATATCCCTATTAGATGGAATAGCTTTTATTTAATGGTGAATACAATTTATGAGTTATTTACATTTTTATCCAATTATTTTTAAAAAATATTTAATTTTTAGAACATGGACGCTATAGAAGAAGTACTTTTTTTTGAATTACAAACAATTTAAAGGGGTTTTCTTTACTGAGTGTGAAAAAGAAGACCTTAAAGAGGCTGTAGATTTTCTAAGGCCCTTCTATAAAATCACACTTGATTTATCAGGATCCAAACATCCTACAGTTGGGATTTCCATGTTATATATGGAGAATATAAATAATAAAATTTTAAATAATATAAAAAAGGATAATAACAATACAAGAAAAGAAATTCTTAATAACATGCTGGTTAAAATGCAGAAATATCTCAAAGAATTATTTTGCTATGAATCATATGTCTCAACATTATTGGATCCGAGATTAAAACAAGTTTACATGCCTAATACTCTTAATAGAATTGAGTATATGACCAAATTTTCAAAATATTTAAGGAAGATAGAAAATTAAAAAAATACAGGAATAACGGATTCTCAGGTATATTTTTAATATTTATTTATTAAATCCTAATTTTCAAACATTTGTGCCAGGAGGAAATCAATGAATTTAGTTTTTTAGAAAGAATTTTATCCTAAAAAGGAAATTCAGAAGGGAATTATATATCTGCAGAAATCATTGAAGAAAATATATCAGAACTTCATACCTATGAATGAACCTCTTGTTTCATTAAAGGATGACATATTAGTATGGTGGAAAGCCAATAGTGAAAGGTCTTTTATATTTTTTAAATAGTCAATATAGTTTATTATATAGATTTCCAGTCCTCTCATTAGCAGCTAGAAATTTTTTAGCAATTCAAGCAACATCTGTCCCCTGTGAACAAATATTTTCGAAAGCAGGAGATATTGTCACTAAAAAAAGGAATAGGCTTTTAAACAATACAAGCTTTGATGTGTATGGGCTCTTGGTTAAAGAATGGAATAGATCTACCGCCTCCATTAAGTCCCTCTTCTAATTCCTTCCAAGGAAGTTCTACAAACAAAGACATTAGCATTTATTTAAATTAAATATTTGTATTAATTATTATATTATTCATAATTAATTTTATATTGTTTATATAATACTCTTATATTTAATAAAATGATAAAACAAATTAAATTATGTTAAAAAAAATATGTTTTTTAAACAAATAAATAGACCGGTCCTGGACGGGTTTTTTTATTTAGGACCACGGTCTGGATCGATCTTTTTTTAAGAACCGTGGTCCGGTCCGGTCCAAGGGTATCGGTCCAGTCCGGACCAAAGACCGGACCGTGACCTTCACTACCAGTATAATAACCAGCAAAAATTAAAATTTTATTATAATAACAAAATTTTGGCCAACATTATGATTGAAAAGAAACTTAAAGCATTATTCTGAAAATTTTATCGATATTTAATGTCAATGAAAATTAATTTAATACAGTGGGTAGGCTGTAGAAAGAAGAGAATTGGCATTATGCAAAAGGAAAATATTTTAAAAAAACTACCTATCTGGCGTTCGCTAATATTTAGTGTCTGACTAGTACTTTTAATTCCTCAATCAAATATGAAAACCACAAAAATTTAATGAATTATAAACAAAATGAAAACTACGACGTCACGCTTTAAGAATGAAGTTAGCCAAGTTTATGGAAAAATCTGAAATAGGCGAGACAGGGAGCATGCGAGCCTTAAAAGGAAAACATCAATAAAATAAAATCTATTTGATAATATTGAGTCAATATGATCTCATTTTATTCCACTTATTTACTTTTATGTGTATAATACATAAAGATAAATTTAAAAAAAATTATAATTTTTTAAAAGTATTAATTTTTCATAATTTTTTCGGAAAAGAATTTTTGGAAACGATGAACTTTCCTATGAGACACTTTTGAGCTTCATATTGATCATTTTATAATGGAAAATATATTATAAAAATTTGTTAAATTTGTTAAATTTGTTAACAATTTAAACCAATAAAGGTTGGATTCATTTTATATATTAAACATGTGTTTTTATTATTGTTCTTATTATCATTATTCTTAAATTTTAAAATAAAATTTAAATAAATATACCCCAATCATGGGGCTACAATATTTTATATTTTATGCAATAGCTTTAAAGGTTTGTTATAATGCAAATTTTATGAAACACATTGGCTATTTTTCTTAAAAAAGGACACCTCATTACTAAATAAAAATAATATTTAAATTATTTACTTCCAATACACTTTTAATAAATGTAGCATATAAAGATTTTAAAAAAATTTAAATTTCGGCCACAAGGTTTTTCTTATTTGATATGTAACAGAAAATTAATCATTTAATGCAAGTTTTTTCTTTTCTACTCTATATCACAAAAATACTCATTTAATGCTAATCTGATTTGCAAATATCTTGTAGATAAAAAAGAAATATTGGGTTTTATTTAATCTGGTTGAATTGGTTAGTCTACATTATATATGTGGTACAAAAATAAATTCGCTTATATTTAATTAAGTTTTACTTTATCACATTTAATAAATATAAGGAGTAATTGAAAAAAAAAATCATTTTATTTTTCATTATACTTAGTACGTCTATTAACTTAAAAAAAATAGGTGGCGGAACAATTCTTAGCTGTAAACCCCGATTCACCAAGCCAGAACAATGCGCTCCAGGTAATAAGTTTCTTTCTTTCCTTCTTTCTTTCTTCTCTTTTTTTCTTTCTAGAAGATAGGTAGCAAATATATTTGCTATTACATTCTCAAATTTGTAAATCACATTTATTTATTGAGCCATAACTATAAGTTTTTGCTTAGAGGGGGGGGGGGGGGGTAAAGAGGAAACAAGAGTTAGGTAATCAATAAAAAAAAATAGAGGGTTTATTCACAGATGAAGGTCAGAATACTCTGCTAATTTTTAAAAAAAGTAAACTATTCGGCCTCTAAAGGCAGGGTGGGTGATTGTCCAAAAGAATCTTGCAAACACATATATTCAAATAAATTTAAATAGATATCGCGGTTAGGGTACCTTTTCAGGGGCAATTATTTTTGTTATTTTTTGTTATTTTTTTATGCTATTTTTTGTTATTTTTTTATGCGATTTTTTTTTATGTAATTTTTTTATGAAAGCTATTGTTTTTATGTTATTTTTTTATGATTGGTTCATTTTCTTATTGGTTAATTTTTTATTTAAGATATTTTAAAATAATTTTTTCTAAAATTTAAAATTCGTACAAATATTTAAAGGAAGTGATGGGGGCAAATGAGGGGGAAGGCTAGGGGTAAGATTTTTAAATTATAAAAGACATGGGGATCGGGATAATATTCATGAATATCTTCTTGAATATAGATATTTTCGAAAATATAGATTATTAAATCGTTTTGATGTTTTTATTCATTTTATTAATGATTGTATAAATTTTAATAGTATATTTCAATTTAATGAATAAATTATTTCGATTGTTATGCTTAAATTTTATTTATTTTTGGAATCTTCCTTTAATTATAGTGTTATCACTAAAAAAAATTAAATTCTTTATACAAATTTTAGAAAAAATTATTCATATTAAGTTTGTATAGAAGGAATCATATTAAGTTTGTATAGAAGGAATCATATTAAGTTTGTTTAGAAGGAATCATATTAAGTTTGTATAGAAGGAATCATATTAAGTTTGTATAGAAAGAATCAACCAAATAAATTTTAAATAGCGAAGTTTCATCTATCAAAAATTTAACCCCAAACCTACCCGCATTGTACATAATCTAATAATTTTACCCCTTACCCCTAGCCTTCCCCCTTATTTGCCCCCATCACTTCCTTTAAATAATTGTACGAATTTTAAATTTTAGTAAAAATTATTTTAAAATATCTTAAATAAAAAAAATGATAATATTAATTTAAAACAATAGTCTCATAAATAAAAAATTAACCACATAAGAAAATGAACCAATCATAAAAAAATAAAATCATAAAAAACAATAGTTTTCATAAAAAAAATCGCTACAAAATAAAAAAAATCGCATAAAAAAATAACAAAAAATCGCATAAAAAAATAACAAATAATCGCATAAAAAAATAACAAAAAATAACATTAAAAAATAACAAAAATAATTGCCCCTGAAAAGGTACCCTAACCGATATCGCTTATACTTTATTTTTTCTTTCAGATTATTTTTTATTGTGATGTGTAATTTTTTGGGAAGGGTGAATCTTTTTAACAACTTAAAATAAAATTTACGAGAACATGCAACTTTCCGAAGAGGAGTCTCCAAGAAATCCCACCCCCGTTTACCCCTATATCTTAAAAACATTAATTTTAAGATATAAATTGTTTTCTCACGTTGCGTTTTGGATCACATATAGTGGTGAGTAACAAATGGCATGGCACCTTCCATCAATATAAAAGCTATAAATTATTTTCATTTTATTTATATTTTTTTAATAAATATCTCAAAATTTTAACAAGTCACATCCGGAACTAAACCACCAGAGACCACGTGTCAGCCACAGGTTATAACTCCTAAACCGACGCCTACACCATGCCCTCCAAGTAAAATATTTTAGCGTATTTAATTAAATGGGAAATTTAATTTTTTTTTATAAACGTCGAACTAAATTAAACACCCCAGATCTTTGGACATGCAAGCACCAATTTAATAGAAATTAGGCAAATATTTATTGTAATGAGCAAATTTAAATAGTAAATAAGAGAAAATGCTATTTAAATTTTCTCACTTACCATTAAAATATCATTTACAAAGTTTGCTTGACATTTACTCATTTGCCAGGCGCGTACGAAGGAATTTGGTCTAGGGGGGGGGGGGGGGGTAGTAAAATTTTTTAAGAAATATTATTGTTATTTAAAAATATTAAGAATAAATTTATTAGGACTAATAACTTTTCTAATACACAATTTTAAATTAATGTGAATTACAAAAAGATTATATATATAAACCGGCATTGAAAAACTATAAAATAAATGTGAATTATAAAATATAAAGTGAATATAACCACGATATTAATTACTTATATGACCCAAAATTGAAATTTGAATTTTTAGAGCCTTTAAAATATATATAAAGTATAAAATTTAAATGTTGGAAATATAAATTAATACACAAAAAGTTTCTTAGGAATAATTGTATTTTGTATGTTTTGAGGTAATTTTTCAATTATCTAATCCTTGCTTGGCGTTAAATGCCTATGAATATTCAAAAGATCCAAACCATTCCATCTACTTTCAGAAGTTGTATTTCATAGGTATGTTTTTCAGAGACTTGCAGGCCCGTAATTTTTTTAAACATACCCGGGCCGGGCCTGAAATTTTTAATAAAAAACACCCGGGCTGGGCTTAAATTTTTTTTTTATAAAAACCGGGCCGGGCTGTATATTTTAAAACCAAGTATTTAAAATCGCCATTTATAGCTATAAAAATCAAAAATAAATATAATTCATTTTAAATAATTCAGGCTGGGCCTGAAATTTTTTTTTAAAAAAACCCGGGCCGAAAAAAATTTCGAAAAAAAATTTGGGCCGTGCCCTGCAAATGGTACCTCTGCAGGGCTCTGTTATTATTCTTAAAAAAGAGAATGTTCTCTCATTAGTTTACTAATGGAAAGAGTTGCTAATATATATAACCATTTTAATATATTATGAATATAATCTAAAATGTGTTTGAAATAATGCAAAGCATCCATAGCATTTTTTGGGACTGTATCAACCATAGTTATTCAGCTAATAAGGCATCATAAGATACTTTAACATCTTCATGATAAAAATCTAACAAATATTTTTTTTTCTATCACCATCTGAAAAAAGGTTGAAAAGGCTTTTATGAAAGTAATATCTGCGGATTTGTAAGTGCTGCATGATGAATTAAAAACCATTCATTTATTTGGGTTATAAATATATCTAAGAGAGAGGAAATTTGTTTAATAATACTCTTCTACTGATCCTATATTAATGTTTTGACGATAAACTTGCTTATTGCAAGTCGAGGGGGACGAATATTAAACACGTATAGCTCTGCTTTTGACTCAACAATAACATAAAATATGAAATTCTTCATCAACATTAGCTCTAATATCCTTGAGTTCTGATGAAATGCTCTCCAATATTTTCATCTTCTTAATCAAGTCAATGTCATGTTTTTGAAAAGTATTACATAAAATAGTTGTATCTTGTATAATTAAATATACATTCTAATGAGAAAAAAAATTTGGAATAAGTATATGAATTCAATAATTTTTTTGCTTCTGAGGAAATATTTCTTTCAAGCCATTGTGATATTTCAGTAATAGCATTAATAATCGGCTCTTCTAACTCCATAAAAGCTGTTACTGCTTGAGGGAGGAGACTCGATCTCGTTGGACAAGCTTGCAGTTTCTTTCTCCCTGTTAGAGAAAAAGTTTCAGAGATAATTATTATTTGACTAGAAATTTAGATAAATAATACGACACTAAAATTTGAAAATAATAGGTAAATATTACGCCAAGGAAAACTTGAAATCGAAATTAATTGATAAAATAACTTAGTAGATGGATGTGATAAATAAATGTAATTAAATATATATATGAGATAGGAATAAATATTAACAAATATAAATTAATATAAACAATAATATTTTTGAAAAATATAATCCGGCATCTGCATTTTTTGGCTAGGGGGGGGATTTGTCCCCCTGTCCCCCCCTTTGCGTACGCGTCTGTCATTTTCTACTTATATCTGCTCACTTGCTATTACATGCTCATTATTATTCGTACTATTAAACTTACTTTTTCATTTTTAATGCATTTAAAGACGGGACACTGCGGACCTGGTAGCACATGAATCCAATCCAATAATTTTAAGATTAATTAAATCTAAGGTTTAGAATTAAAGGCTTGAATAGATACAATTGTAGAGACAAGCAAATATCATTAACAATTTATACCAAAAAAAGTGTTCTTCGTAAAGTGTAAAGAATTTATGTTAGATTATTTTGGTATAGAGTAAGAACTGATATAGGTATTAAATCCTCATTTATCACCTGTGAATTTTATATATCATAATATCATCTTTTATCACTACTGGGGACTAGGGGCACATCGGAACGGGATACTTAGGGTCATTTTTATAAGTAAAATAACAATTCTATATCATAAAATTATTTTTAGTGTTCCCCGTAATCTTTGTAAATAATATTATATTTTATTGTTAAAATACAATTTTTTTCATTATGATCTTATATTGAGCTCATTTAATTTATTCTTTGCTATTAAATATGTAAATGTTTTTTTATTATGTTTTCTTATTTGATTTTAAGAAAAATTTTCTATATTTACTCTTTTTATATTAAATTTGTTCATTTACATTTGATCTCATTTTTTCCTGCTTAAGCTACTTAATTCGCCCTTTAGCTATTGAATTATATTTTTTTTCTTGGTTTGTTAATTAAATTGGCAATTATTGACGAGATCCTTTATGTTAAACGGGTTTAGTCGATACAATTGGCAAAGATCACAAATATAAAGAAAGTTTAAAATATAAACCCATAATAAATTGAGTTTGACAGTCGAGGTTCGCAGAACTTTTTTTAAAATTCCCAAGAGACACGAAGATGCAATTCTTCGAAAGAAAAACATTACGAATTATACCTTGACCTGGGCGCCTATTGAAAAATTATCGAGCGGTGTTTTACTTTATAGCTATCGGCGATCGGTTTTGCGCCGAATTTTCCATTACCTTAAAAAAGATATATTCAATTTTTCTTACTTTTTTAAAAAATTTCATGAACACTTAATTTATCATTTATATGAATAAACTATTTTTTATTTAAAGTCTATTACAATACTAAGTCGAGAGTCTTTTTGAGTTTAAGATAGCCAAGTTAAAAATAGTACAGTTTTTGGGCCAAAAAGTCTAGGTAGCTTCAATCTTCTCTTCTTCATAACATTATTTACTGGTGAAGATAAAGAAGAAAATAATTTATAACATTCTTGTTCCAAATCATTCATGATATTGTTTTGCCGGGAACAATTAGATGAATTGTTATAGCTAATTTTTGTATATAATCTGATTCACATTCTACTATTTGGTCCATCTCCAAAAAATTGAAGAGGTGTAAAACATTTTTCCTTGTGATAAGTGTTCATACTATTCATTTTTTTTTAAATCTGGGAACTAAAAGTGCTGTTATATCTTGTAAAAAAATTAAATAATTTATCAAGTGATTGGTTATTTCCCTGCATAATATTAATATTAAGCTTTTGTTGCATTCGTTTTAAGATTATAAAATATCTACGATATCTTTAAATGAATTAGTAAATCTTCCAACTAAATACCAATCAGAACTAAACAATTTAAGGTTGTGATTCTCCATTCTATTTAACATGATATTGATCAGGATTTTGTTAGTACAACTGGCTCTTTCAAGCATCTTCAAAATCCTATTATAGGTGCATTTAATTTTGAAGTTTCATAATGTAATTTGTCATGTATTATATCACTATTGTAAATCATCTGGTGCAAAATAGTCTTTGGTGAAAGGATCTTTATCTTCTAAATCTAATATATCTAATTTACGATCTATTGTCTCTAAACATTTTCTATTCTCGTAATTATTTATATCATCGTGATCGGAGGTCTTGAATATAAGTGCATCTGATTTTTTAAATAAGATTTTTTATTCTACTTATTTTCTTTATTCTATCTACTGTTACATGTAATCCATGTTCCAAATATAGATGATGTTCATTTTCACCTAACCAGACACTTCTTTTGACATTAGAGCATGCATCTATGAACATTGAAATTTCCTTCAGACCTTAAATTCAACATGTATTCAATTATATTTAATTCTAGAAAGAATTTCTCCGGTATGCTTTGGTTAATATTTAATATTAAACATAACATCTATTTGAGTATTAATAACAAATCAATACTTTCTTAATTGCGTAAAAGTAATTAAATAATAAAATATCATTTCCATAAAATTTATTAAATTTAAAAGGAGAAAGATTTTATTTATAATGTATCATATGATTATAAAAATTGTAATTATAAATATTTATAATGTAATAGCGATAACATATTTACTTTTCTATGAAAACCGCCGCCTATTAAAATGTGGGCGGCCGCACGCCAATAACCAATATCCTTTTCATAAGGCATAGCATAACTAAGATAACCCGGCGGCGTCGACAGGTCTAATCATACCCCGAATAGCTCAACCAACAAACTAAAAGGAACTTAACCGCGTTCTCGAAATCTCTTTTATTTTTTTAAAATCATAAATAAATTTTAAAATAAATACTTTAACCAAATCTTTTATTTTTTTGGTAATTTAAATATTAATTGGCGAACAATTTTTGAATTCTGATTAAAAGATTGTGAATTTAGAGATCTGCAAAAGTAAGCCCGGTCTGTACCCGGCCCGAGCTCGGGCCTAATTTATAAAAAATTGTTTGGGCCGGGTAAGGTCGAGCCTTGGAAATTTTTTTAAATTATATTTAGATTTATCAATTTTATATTGAATTTTTTATGTAAAATAAAAATATTTGATTTTATTTATAGAACTAGACGCCATATAATATATGTCTTTTATTTTGAGTAATTCTAAATAAATTCTATATTTAAATTAAATCGGGCCGGGCCGGTAAATTTTTTTAAAAAAAATTTCAGGTTCAGGCCGGGCCGGCAAAACTTTGTTAAAAAAAAATTTGGGCCGGGCTTGAAAAATTAGGCCCGATGCAGATCACTATGTGAATTTTTTAAATTCGGATAAGATTTATTATTTTCAAATAATGAAACAGTGTTTTTAAAGAAAAAAATTGGTTATAAATCATATCATATCATTTTACTATATACTTTTTATTTTTCAAAAAATATCTAAAAACCTATAGCTGTACAAGTCGTCCTTCCACCACCTGAGACTAAAAGTTATTGATTTTATTATTATTTTATTCTTTTTAGCGTTTTAAAATGCTCTTCAAAATAAAATAAAATCTTAAAATTTTTAAAATAAAGATTTTTTTTAAAAAAAGAAGAGTTTTTTTGAGAATGCTTAAGGAGGATTTTGAATCAAATTTTATCTTTTCTTGATAAAATCATCTATTATTTTAAAAGAATTTTTGATATTCTTTAAAAAAAATAATCTTCCATTTTATGATCTTCAAAAAAAAAATTTTCTTAATATTTTAGGCATATAAAAAATTTTCCAAAAAGTCTTCGTATATTTTTTATTTTCAAACTCTGCTTTAATATTATTTTTCTAACTTATAAGATTATTAAATATTAATATAAGCATTCATTGATTTTTCATAATAAATTTATAAATAATGCAAACATACCATTGAAAAAAATATATTTATAATATTCCTACACGTAAAAGGTTATGATATCTGCGATAAGGCAACAACAACAATTCCTCCAGGTAAACTTCTTATATCATAACTAAATTCTAAAATCGTATTATTTTTATATCTAAACTTAAATGATAAGATGGTTCATCCTACGGAAGCCTCGTGCCCTCAGAATGCTTGACAGTGAATAAAGACGCAGCGAATGAAGCCAGGGATGTTAATGGTTATTTTAAAATAATCCCCTAAATAAAACATTCATTCGGGTATTAACGAGCTTGAGATGGTAGGGTAGACCTGGGCTAGGCAAGCCATCTTTTAGAAAATCTTCTATAACTTCCTTACGTTTTTACATCATGGGAAATACTCTAATATATCAATAGATATCTACCACTATATACTAGCTATTTTTTTAAAAATTTTTAATAAGGGGTTAATTTTGCCCAGACGATTATATAATAATTTTAAATATTTTTTCTTTAATTTATAACTATGCAATAGAATTTAGCCATAATATATGAGTTGGCATCAATTTTTTTTTCTCCCTGTTATTTTTTTTTAACTTTGATTCGCTTTTTTAGTGAGTTTTTAAATTTTATAAACTTCTGCCGTATACATATTCTAGCTTGTTCAGAATACATTGAAATTAGCTTTTGAGTCATTAAAATTTATATAAAAAATATATGGGAAAACGAATATTAAATATATTGAGTTCAAAAGTTCATGGCAAAATTTTCTAAAAAGTAGTACCGAGTTGTTAAAAGATCATTTTCAATCTAGATACAGATACATCGTCTAAAAATAGATCTGGATACAGATACATTGCCGAAAAGCGTAGCTACATTTACAGATACAATCTTTATTATATTTATATGCAGGGTTTATTGTTGTTATCGAGCAGAAGCTCTTATTATGAGAGAGAAAAAAGTAGTAAACAACATATTCGTAATATTTTTTCAATATAAGTTTATTTAAATGCGCATATGAATATTACATTCAAATATTTTTATTTTAATATAAAATAAGTATTAACTAAAAGTATATCAAAATATATCTTAAAAAATATCAAAAACCAGATATATACACCTCTAAGATAGTTTTCAGATACTGATAACAGATACTTCTATAAAAGTTTTCTAGATTGCGATACGGGTACTGTTTTGTATTTCACAACTCTATTGCTTTCTACTCATTTTGAAAATATTATTTCCAGTAAAATCATATATTTAAAACTTAAAAAAAGCAATAAAATGATTTAAAGTTGAAATAATAACACATTGACTCTAACATATATAAAATAATTAAAACATAATTTTGCTATATATAAACGTTTAGGACATGAAAAATGTGGTTCTTTTCGTTTTTATAGAATTTTATGAAATTTGAAGTATGTATTCCATAAAATATTTAAAAATATATTTTATAGTGATGTATTATTGGTTCAATATATATTAATTTCCTAAGCCAATATACTAGCTTACTAATGATGATTAAATAATATAAAATAAAACACTAAATGTTTGTAAAACTTCTCAAATTATAAAAGAAATTTCAAACTTTGCCATAAAAGTTAAATTGTTTATTAACCTTCTTCTAAATTTAATATAAATCATATTCCTTTCTTGTCAAATTTAGTACTAAATTTGACATCAAAGTTTACTAAATTTGACATCAAAGTTTACTAAATTTGACATCAAAGTTTACTAAATTTGACATCAAAGTTTACTAAATTTGACATCAAAGTTTACTAAATTTGACATCAAAGTTTTACATCTTATATAAAATTTTTGAATAGGTGATAATTTTAAACATATTAATTTTTTAAATCTATGTTAGGACAAAAAATATTCTAAAGCCTTAAATATCAAAATGGAATCAAATGGTTTGAAACGCCTCATGGTCACTAGCTCAGGTTTCTCCTATTGTTGAGAAAAAGAGAGGTTTTAAATCTTTCAGAAATTAATTACAGCTTTGGAGATAAAACATTTTAAAATAATATCAAAAATTGGCCCATATTTAATATTAACATCTAATCGACTTTATGATATTATATTATAAATATTAGGAATGAAACATTATAAACGAAAAAAATTCCGTTCGTAAAGCTATCACATGAATCATTACTTGTCCATATTACGTTATTGGAAGTATACCTAATAACTTGTATATACCTTTATACAAGCTTTTTCAAAAATTGCCGGTACGACATTACTTTTACATAATAATTTTATGGGACAAGCCGAAAAACCTATACTTAATAGGGGTTTAACTGGTGGGATGGAAGGAATTTGTTTTAGACTTTATATGTTTAAACATTATTTTCATTATTTGTAACATCTTTATCAAAAAATTATCCATTTTGATTTTACATATGTTGATTTTTATATTAAAATATTAATTTATTTTTATTATAGAATTTTTGTATTCAATTTTTAAGTGAAGATAGTCAATTATTTATTTTTATATCACCTGCACAATTTCTAATGTTATGCATTTTGAATGATTTGGATATTTGCTTATGATAGATTTTTATTGCATCAATATGTTTTATTAGCGCGCGAACTATTGTTTTATATTATGGTAGTATGATTATAGTATGATTTTAAAAAAATATATGAACATTTTATATGATTCTGTTTTTTTTTGTTTAAATTATAATTTTGTGTAAATTTAAAGAATTATTAGAAAAATAAAAACATTGTTTTATATAAAGATAATGTTTTTTTAAGAAATTTTAATCCGTATCTAATTTTCATATATTCAATTATTTTGGATATTTATAGTCACAAATCGTTATTGATTTATCGTATAATTGTCATTACATATAAAAACAATTATAATTTGTGATAGGTGTGGCTTGGAGGGTTCGAGCTTGTGTTGTTAAATGGTTCGATATGAGCCGATTTTTAAAAATGGCTATAACTCGATATTTTATTCAGAAAAATATTAAGTAAGTCTAAAGATTTTGGTCATATATGGCACAAAGGTTTGGACATTTATTAGAGAAATCTCGAGGTTTGGGCTATATTTTCATGGCCAAAATATTGAGTTAGCCGTTTTAAAAATTCGTCTCAAATAAAGCCGTTTAACAACACTAGTTAGAACCCTTGACTGAGGTGCATCAATCATGGTTCGATTCCCTGTAACAACATTTTTTTCTCAAACATACTTATGAGTCGAGGTTAGATTAAGTATATAAATACTGTAAAAAAAGCAATAGAACCCAAAGATTTTGAAGCTGAAATAACTCTAGGAACTAAATTCTGAAACCTTCATTTAAAATTTAGAGCCAAAATCCATTAAAAAAATATCATATGAACTGGGTGTAAGGAATTTGTATATATTGTTTAAAATGTAGATACTTTTATTTACTCCTAAACTAAGGACGATATTACAACCCTCGAATCTTTGCTCCCTGACTCCTCTAAATTTTACCACCTGCCCCCCCCTTCCCCATCTATACCAAATTCATAAAGTATTTTTATGAAAATATAATTAAGATTAAAATATCCAAAATATTTTGAGTACACAATCATTTGTGAATATAAAGTCAATGCCACAACTAGAGAGAATGTTATTGGGATTAAGGGGGGGGGGGGGGAGGCTTTAATTCCATCTTTAGCACAGCACCCATTGAACTCTAGCAAACTCAAAAGTTTATAAATGCACCTAACATCGAATGTAAAATATCCATAAAAAGGCATCTATCTTGCTTTATTTGATGCGATTTTGCAAACTTTTTAAAGTTTTAAAAAAATATGTTTCGCAGAATGTCTCGACACTTTCAGGTGCGAAAAAGAAGATGCATATAATTTTTTGATTTTGTTATAATAAGAATTATATATATAATTAAAATTTAAATTTTTAAAATATATGTGACCTCTTCATATCAGGAGGCGTAGCAATTTTAAAAATGGAGTAAATAAAGGGGACGTTACAGTGATTGACATCTCCATCTTATTAATCTGTTTTAATCACCAAAATGAATAATTTTATAGTTTTAACAAATATAAATCTTTATTTTTTTTTTAATTTTAAATATTGGTAAATTTAAAAATTGAATGTATTATATGATGATCTCCTGTTTCAAATAGGAAAGATTATGTAACTTGTGTAGTAAATTGTGTAATGATTAAAAAGAGGTTTAATTTTATTATTTAGGTGGGTTCAGGTGAAGTATCTATACCTGGTGGCAGAAATATTTTAAAATAGTGGTATCATTAATACATTGTGCCCCTCAAATTTGTTTATTAAATTTGTTTTCATAATGGAATCAAAATTTCCAAAAACCAGCAAGTCTTACATTTATAATTAAAATAACTCTCAATAATTTATAATATTGTTTCTCAATAATCTCACCGATTATGATTATAACTTATAATTTCTCAATAATCTCACCGATTATTATTATAACTTAATATTAATGTTTAGAATTTTGAACATTTTACTACTATTTAACATTTCTTTATTTTATAACTTTTTTTAAATTAATTCCCATATTTTTATAAAACAATCATAAAAATCATAATAATTCAAAATGTCTATAAAAAAATTCTTTTCTTTGTTTTACAATTATTATATTCATCCGCGTTAATTCTTTATCAATCAATATAAACAAAAATCAATATTTTTTATGTTTCTAAATATATATTAATAATTGATTGACATTTATCATTTAATAATAATAATATTGATAAATATATATATATATAATATACCAACATATATGAAATATCTAATACAAATATATATGAAATATATATCAATAATTATTTTATATTTTAAATTAGTTTGCAATCATCTATTTACTGCATAATAAATAAGGTTATATAGATATAATCATACTTGTACAATAATAAGGTTATATAGATATTATCATATTTGTAATTTTGTTGAATATTCATATTCTTAGAACCAAAAGCATGCAGTCAAACTAAATGTAAGCTATAAAAATTTTATTTTATTTAATATAATATTGGCAGTTCTATTATATGGAACCATTTTTAAGGTCTCATTTATAGTAACCACCAAATACCACGAGGTCGCTAAGCTAATGCTTAATTTCTCGCTAAACAATATCATATAGGCGCGTACGCAGCGGGGGGAACAGGGGGACAACCCTTCCCCCTCCCCAAGGCTAAAATATACAGATGCCGGATATATTTTTCAAAAATATTATTGTTTATATTAATTTATATTGTTAATATTTATTCCTATCTCATATTAAATATATATTTAATTACATTTATTATCACATTCATCAACTAAATTATTTGATCAATTAATTTCGATTTCAAGTTTTCCGGTGTAATATTTACTTATTATTTTCAAATTTTAGTGTCGTAATATTTATCTACCATTTTCAAATTTCTAGTCAAATAATAATTAATCTGAAATTGTCCAACAGGGAGAATTGCAACCTTTTCCAACGAGATAGAGTCTCCGCCATCAAGCAGTAACAGCTTTTATGGAGTTAGAAGAGCCGATTATTTGCTATTACTGAAATATCACAATGGCATGAAAAAAATATTTCCTCAGAAGCAAGAAAATTATTGGATTCAATGCTTATTCCATATTATTTTTCTCATTAGAATGTATTATTTAATTATACAACTATTTTATGTATTACTTTTCAAAAACATGACATTGACTTGATTAAAAAGATGAGAATAGCGGAAAGCATTTTATTAGAATTCAAGGAAATTAGGGCTAATGTTGATGAAGAATTTCATATTTTATATGTTATTGTTAAGTCAAAAAGAGCTATACATGTTTAATATTTGTCTCCCTCGACTTGCAGCAAAGCAAGCTCATAGTTAAAACATTAATATAGGATCAGTAGAAGAGCATATCTTAGATATACATTTATAACCCAAAATGAATGATCTTTATTTCATCATGCGGCATTACCAATCTGCAAATATTACTTCCATAAAAGCCTTCCCAACCTTTTTCAGATGGTGATAAAAAAAAATATTTGTTGGATTTTTATCATAAAGATGTTAATTAAGATGCCTTATTAGCTGAATAACTATGTTTATAAGATTAACTATGGTTGATATAATCCAAAAAAATGATATGGACGCTCTGCATTATTTCAAACACATTTTAGATTATATTCCCAATGTATTAAAAGGGTTTATATATATTAGCAACTCTTCCCATTAGTAAACTAATAAGAGAACATTCTCTTTTTTAAGAAGAATAATAGAGCCCTGCAGAGATACTATTTGCAGGGCACGGCCCGGATTTTTTTTTAAAAAATTTTCAGGCCCGGCCCGGCTTTTTTTTTAAATAAAATTTTGAGGCCCCAGGATTTTTTATAAATAAATTATATTTATTTTTTATTTTTACAGCTAATAATAACGATTTAAATATAGGCTGTTTTAAAATATACAGCCCGGCCCGGAAATTTTTTAAAATATTTTCCGGCCCGGCCTGGGTGAATTTTTAAAAATATTTTGGGCCCGGCCCCGGTATATTTAAATAAATTAAAATACGGTCCGGCCCGGGGGCCGGGCCTGCAGGTCTCTGAAAAACATACCAAGAAGTACAACTTTTGAAAGTAGATTGAAAGGTTTGGATCTTTTGAATTTTCATAGGCATTTGACGACAAGCAAGGATGAGATAATTGAAAAATTAGCTCAATCCCAACGAAGATTGGATTTTGTAGTGTAAATATATAACATACAAAATACAATTATTCCTAAGAAACTTTTTGTGTAAAGGCTCAATAAATTCAAATTTCTATTGGGTCATTTAAGTGATTCTTTACATATAATTAATTCACAATAATTTAATATTGTGTATTAGAAATAGTTATTAAAAAATTTATGCTTGATATTTTTAAAAAACAATAATATTTCTTAAAAAATTTTATTATTACCCCCACCCCCCCCCCAGACCAAATTCCTGCGTACGCGGCTGATATCCTAGCTTTATAATCTAACATTATGTATTATGTAAATAACGCATCCCCTTAAGAGACCGCGTTATTTTTTAATTACAATAAACGAGAGCATTAGGTGAGAAATTTGTTTTATAGAATTTAATTAATTAAAAGAAGGTCAAAAGAGAAAAGGAACTCTAAGAAATTCAAAAATAATAATACATAATAAATGAAAACTGTTCTTATATGTATTACACAAATAATGATTTGCAACCATTGAAACGACTCAAGGGTATATTAGAATCATTCAGGTGACTATTAGAGACCCAATTTAATTCTTTCTCTTCAAGCTATGCTAGGCCCTAAATTTATATTTATTTACACTCCCTGCCAGATTTTTAAACATTTATTTTTGGCCCCAGCCCGGCCTGAGTTCTTATTTTAGGAGGTAAAAATTTTACCTGTAAATTCTACAATCTACCATGAAAAAAATATATTTGATAGGGGTTTTTTTTTTAAATTTGTATCTATTAAAAATGTTCTCCATGGTTAACTCCTGGTTTTATATTTTATAAAGAGATTATTCATAGGCGACCAGAGTAACGCTATCCACTGAACTAGAGGCTGGTTTGAATTTGGAAGAAAAGAATTAATCATTATTTTGTTGGTTCCGGCCCAATTAAAAAAAATGTAAGTTTGAGTGGTTTAATTTTTATATAAAATTTCCGGCCTTTAGGCCAACTTTTTGGGCTATTGTATAGTGATCAAAGTAAAATAAAAATTCTAATTTTAAAAAGGAAAGAAGAGCGTAAAGAGATCAATTTACTAAAGTTAAATCAGCTGGCCTCCTGGTTTTTTTATTAATTTTTAATCAAATTTTATTCAAGAAGATAATTGTCATATTAAATATCATAGTATTTACCAATGTTATTTTATTCAGCACCTGACTAAATCATTTATATTTCATAATGTTTCAATTCGCACCTTATATATATATGGCAACTCTTTATTATCTTTTCTAAGATTCCTTAAAATTTCTTCGTTTTTGATACTTCTTTTTCTTTTAATCTTATTTTTTTTAACAAAAATGTATAAAATAAAATAATGCAAAAATTGTAAGAAAAAAAAAATAATAATAATAAATAATAATAATAATATTGTTTTTTTGAACATCAACAGTTCTTTCAAGGCCAATAAAAATAAAATAATTAAAAACTACGATATAAAATATAACAAATTATACAATCACCGTTGCTCCAAATGTTCGGCCAACTTCACGGAGCTTCGTAAAGTTATAATAAAGGCTACCTTAAAATATTATATTATACAAATCTATATAAGTTATAATCATACATAACTATGAATAAAACAATTGTCATATTTAATCAAACTCCTGTTGAACTTATATTTATTTATTTATATATCAATATCCATCCAAATATTTTATTATTATTCCCATAAATACTAAATCTTCCAAAAATGCGAACACTAAGGTGAATCATGTGATGTCGAATAATAATTAAAATCAATCTATTCTTTCCGAAAATATATTAACAAAACATCCATAAATGCCATTACAAATTGACTGATACAACAATAATATTATTTGAATAAATGGTATAATTTTCATCTTCGATTTACCTTTTTTAAAAGCGACGATATCAAGATTTTGACCAAAACTCTATATTTGGCCCAAAAGCAAACCCATAGGTGTATTCTGAACGCTTCTGGGTGAATTTTTCCCGCCATAATTTTATAGGTTTTTAGGTTCACTTATTATAGATATTTGGTCACCTTATTTTTTTTTATTTTTTTAGCTTTCACCTTTTCTGGTTGTAAGCTCCTTCAATATATCTCTCCACTTTATGTTATTCATGCTATCTCTTTTATCTAATTTATATTTCTTCATATTAGCTCTAACTTTAAGGCACCATTTAAGTTTTGGCCTTCCTCTTTTACATTTGCCCGTCACTTCCAAACTCTTAACCTTATTTCATATATGGTTTTAGGCCTTTTCGTAGTGTGCCCATACCACCTAAATCTGTTCACCATTATCTTAGTCTTAATAGGCACTACCTTTAAACTTCCTAGTACTCTTGTACTTCGCACTTATCCTTTCTTGATAATCCAGCAATCATCCTCAGCATTCTTATCTCTATAGTTTGTAGACTTCTCTCGTCTGATTTTTTGGTTGGCCATGTTTCCGAACTATATAGAATAGTTGGTTGTACTATGGAACTAAATTTTTCCCTTCAATTTGTGTGAGATTCTTTTGTCAAAGAGCACTCCAGACACTTTGAACACCCTTGATTAATTTTACTCTTTATCTTTTTTCTATTGTGCCGTTTGTTTATATAGTTAATTTCCTAGGGGAATTAATTTCCACCATTTCGTGCCTGGTCACACCATTATCTAATCTATATACAAAATTTTGAGGCCTAGGTAATATTTGTTTAAGGTTGTTGAAACGTTATTTGTAATCTATTTGATATATCAACTCTAGTTTAAAATTCATTAGTTACGATGAGTTATTTAAAAGGTAAATTTCTTAAAAATGATAGAAATCAAACCTATTTTTGAAAAACATGTAATAAATATATTCTAGAACGACCAATAAAACTATGATTATTTATTTTTATCATTAGATTTTTAAAATTTTAGATTTACATAATGATGTTATATTATTATATTTATTATATAATGATTTTTTCAAGTAAGATTATTCTTATAAGAACCAATACATGTGGGGAAGTATGTAAGTTAATAAAAAGATTCATATTAATTAGTTATATTTGTTATAATCAATGGGTCAATGTTATACGGCTTGATTTGAGCCTATTTTTAAAATGCGACTAACTCGTTTTTATTCAGAAAAAACATTACAGTTAACTACACTATAATGAGCCCCTGACGATTATTTTAGGTTTAGATTTTCTTGTTTTGTCTACTATTTGGTTCAGATTTCCTTCACTTTTTAAAAGAAGTTTTAATTTTCACATTTTCTCATTGCTAATTTTTCCCCCCCCCCCCATATTGTTTCAAAGGGAATTCTTGAATCAGAGACCTGCAGGGTGGATTTTAGGGCTTGGCTTAAAAATATCAAAAATACAGGTTTGATCGCGTTAAATAAATTTAAAATCCGAGTCCTTTAAAAATTATATCTATTAATATAATCATATTTTTGAGACTTTCATAGTCATTTCAATATTTTTCAATTTTCCTTTAAAACGATATCTCAAAATACCGCCAAAATTATTCAAAATAACAAAATTTTTAAAAATTCCTGATTCGGCCGAGCCTGAAAATTAAAATATTTTAGATGGAATATTTTTTATTCAATTTTTATTATCATAGTTAGGAATCTGCAAATCACGGCCCGGCCCTTAAAAAATAACTTCGGTTCGGGCGGGGTCGGGCCAGATATGAATTAAAATTTTAAATATGATATCATGATAGTTTGCCAAATATATTTTGAAATTCTTGCAAGAAACAAGGCGCTAATATTTTTTATTTGTAGAATATTTTCTTTTTACAATCTAAAAAAAATATTAAATTTTTCTATATTTAAATAAATTCGGGTCGGGCGGACAAATAATTTTTTTATTTCAGGTCAAGCTTTTCGGGAAAATTAAAAAAAATTGTTCAGGATCGGAACGTGCGGGGTAAATTTTTTTTTAAAATTTAGGGCCGGGTTTGAATAATTAGGTCCGACGCAAATCACTAATCATTATTTATTTCAGAAGTCAATTTTGGCAGTGAGGGTTTTTACTGCTGGTTACCGACTTGACTCAAACCTCCCTCCTTTCTAAACATGTTTAATAACCGGCTATGGCGGAGTTCCTTTATTTATTTTTGCCATTTTATTTTATATAATATTTAGAAATTTTATTTTGAAAAGAAAACCTATTTTTTATATAAGTCCGATCTGTCCATCACGACTGTAAAATATTTTTATCAATCCCCCCCCCATCCCTCCTGTTGCTACAAAATTAGTCACTTGTCCGCCAGCCCTTGGGTTACATTCTTTTTATACTACTGCTTTTAAACCTCTTTATTAAATATTATTTTATATATTTATTTATAAATTTCACTAAATTCAAATCTCAAGGCAATAAAGGACCAAAACCTCTACAACCTTTAGGTGAATCATTTTTTGATATTTACTTAAAAATTAAGAAGCATATTATAACTATTTTATTTATTTTATTTCTAGTGAGTTTATGTATATTGTGTAAATATTTATTTTACTGTTTCTCAATACCTTCCTTACTTCCTTTACTATATTAAAATTAAATTGGATATTTTTATTTTATTATATAATAAATTTTATTTTTTCGAATTTTATCATTTATTTTTCTTATATTATATATCTCTAAATTTAAATATAGAAGTTCTCATTGTTGAACCAAGTAGACCCAGGCCTATACCGGCAAAACCTCAACCATGTTAGTCAATCCTATATCTTTAATTTCAATTCCTAAATCGTATTTTTTCAAACTTATAAAATTATTAAATGGTATAAAAAATTGATATATATGTATATATCGTAATTTTTAAAGGGATCATGACTATCCGGGATCTTCACGGGTTTTAAAGGGATAACTAAAAAATTAGGGTTTTAAGTTAAGGAATGATAATAAGGTATTATCACGTTTTAATCGTGATAAAGAGGGGTCTTATTTTAAAAGCGTTTTCCACGCGTTTCGTGGGGTTTTTTAATTTAATTGTTATTCATTAATTTTCAATGTTGTTTTTTTGGCCTTATGATATAAGATATGTCTAATATAGGGTATCAATCAATAGATATTCAAAAGGTCTATTCAACTGGAGATCAATCTCTCCCCCATAATGGGCGGGTCTAGGTCTTGGGGGTCGAAAATATTTTTATCAAACAAAATATCGATATGGGTATCAAATAAAGCTAATTTTAATATGGTTTGACTGAAAGTCTTCATTCTTGGTCTTGATGGGTCGGACTTGGTCTGGGGGGGGGGGGGGTGTGTAAAAATAATTTTTTTGATATGGGTATCAAATAAAAGCTAATTTTAATATGGTTTGACTGAAATTCTTTATTCTTGGTCTTGATGGGTATGACTTGATCTAAGGGGGGGGGGGGGTGTAAAAAATATTTTTTAGCTATGTGTATCAAATAAAAGCTAATTTAAAAATTGAAATTTTAAAGAGATCCCTTTAAATCCCGTGAAGATCCCGGATAGTCGTGATCCCTCTAAAAATTGCGACATATATAATATCCATAACCTCTAAACTTAAATCGCCAGCATCTACTAATTGTAACTGAACTTGGTTCTATCTTAGTTGATTTTTAGATTGGCACCAATTGCATTGTGAGGGCCAAAAATTTTAATATTTTATATTAAAAAATATCTTAAATCTATTTTTTGTAATTATTTTGTGCTAAAAAATCTTAAATAATTAAATCATAAAAAAAATCTTATTTTCTTTATTATTTTCAAAAATCAAAAATATTTATATTTTTTTATTCTTATTTTCAAAAATATAATATCTTCTTCAGATATGTTAATAGGTACTATAAATAGCGAATTTAATTAAATTACAATTTTGGCGCATTACAATCATCATGATTGGAGAGTATAATCTTTAGGATTTTAATAAATTCTCAAATCACAATTTTTAAACTCAGAAAATTTTATCTAACATTAGAAAATTGTTTAATAGATATGTAAATAATAATATATTTTTTAAAATTATATTTCATTATTATAATAACGATTGAACTACAAGGTACGGAATGCAAACTTAAAAAAGAGAATAAAATCATATATTTTTTAATATATATATACTAAAATTAAGAAATATAAAAAACTTTTTATTTTAATAGTAATTTCTAAGCTTTGTAGAAATTCGTTATATATTTATTAAACTTATAAAAACGGAAACATTATAAAATGATTATCTGATGTTTATATTTAAAATGAAAATTAGGGCAGGCATATAATTTTTTCTACCTAATAATTTTTATTATTATAACAAAACTTTAAGCTATCTGCGAAATCAAAAAGGATAAACGCAAACACAAACATAAACCCAAAACACACAAACCGAAACCCAAGCCTATGCCAGCCGGAGGTAAAACATTCTTGGCTATTAATTAAATTAAAACCGTAAATGAGGTTTTTTTTATAATGAAAACATATTTACCACGTGAAAGAAATTACTAAATTTTCATTTTACTTAAGACTGTGCACAAAATGTTTTGAAAAAAACATCAAAATTACAAATTTTCGCTAATAAATAAAATTTTAAAACATGTCCGAAATCTTCCATTTTTTAAAAAAAAATAAAAAATGGTTATTTTTTTCTTCAAAATTTATTTATTTATATATTTTTTTATTGATCATAAAAAAACCTTAAAAAAATGTAAAAAAATGAAATACAAATATGTACAATATTAAATTTAAAAAATATTTTTAAAAAAAAACGAATAACAATATATCAAAAATTATATATATTTTATAAAGAAAAATATTATAAAGAACTAAAAGAAAAAATATTAAAAGGGTACATATCACCCTAGAGAAGAATTAAAAAATTGGACCAGCAAATTTCAAGAGAAATCTGCTGACAAAGGTAAAATTTTATTAAGGTCCCCATAGATTTGTCTTATTTTTTCCCCCTATAGTTTTAATGAAATTGAGGGCCTCACTTCCTAACATGCCTAATGTATTGGTAACGATTTGTATGAACACTGTAATTTTGGGCACAGCCTATTATATATGTTTGTGTATACTATTATTATTATTATATATTTAAACTTGAATAAATGTATTCTACCTATATTTATATAGCCTAGACAATAAATGACTTTTTTAGTTTAAATATTTATTTGATTCCAAATGTAAAACTAAATCCGATCAATTGAGTCCGTTTCGTAATTCCAAGATCATATTTTTATTCCCCATCTAAATGTAAAGTACTATATTATAGGATGCTAGACTAGGGCAGACGGTTTGGTGGACACAAGTTCTGGCATTATAAATTTATAAGTATTTTAGCGCAGGATTATTTTATCTTATATCCTTTTAAAAAATTAATTCCTTACATAAACGTAAGATTCAAAAAAAAATCTATACTCCGTAATTTAATGTATAGAAGTTCATTCAATTTTAATTTCAATTATATAGAAAAAATATATCAATACTACATTTACTTCTATCTATATGCTAGCAGACTTAACAAGGTACCGTAATCTCTATATAATTAAACAGCCCCTAGCAGTAGGGTAAACTACTGCCCAATAGTAGATTCTAATCTACTGCAACTGATGCGCCCCCTATGGCGTGATGAAATGTTAAAGTATTTGGAATTGTTATACATGAGATGGTAAAACCTTACCATTTCCTTCTTTGCTATATATCGATTAACCAAGCACTCTGCATTGCAAGCGACGCAGAGGTGTATAGTTATCTAGCAGAATATATACTCAATTTTAAATTTACAGATTTATATCGGATACAGTTTACCCTAGACCAAAACCGATGGTACTAGTATAAGGTCGCTTTTACCACCTATTAGCGAATTTGTCGTCTATCATGTAGTCCATCATAAAAGTACATTCATTAAGCACCCTGACCTCTACTTTCTACAGGTGATCAATCTTTAGAAATTTCTTTACTTAGTGGATTCTCTCTAATCCGCACGACAGAAATACCTCTTAAGTTGGTAACATCCTTGTATACCTTAAATCGAGCCAACCCGAGGACCATTACCTATTCTTCTCTCTCTCAACAATTGAAAGTTTCTCGAAGCATTCTAATCAGGAAATCTTGACTAGCAATTGAGCAAGCTATATCAAGCCACCGGTCTCTTAAGTGCAAAATGGTAACACCTTATCACTGTCTTCTCTGTCAAAGCCAGTACCAACAGGCTAACAGTTTTTACATTGTAAACAATGTAAAGGTAGATTCCTCAAACACTCAAAATGCAATTATATTATAGGCCAGACTTTATAATCTACCCTGCCATCAAACCTTAAGTCCATTGGCCTATACAGTATGGCAAAGTTTCTAATGGATATACCATGATTTATTTGAAGAAAGACGGATTTATAAACTGGGTTGGAATTTTCTTGCATTGATTATCATGCGTCGTTCATTATAAATTGGCTTTCGTGTACGCTGAGTTGAAAAACCTATCATATTTGGTTATCTACTAACCTTACATTCCTAGTCCTACCCATAATTGCAACGACATTAACGCCATATGGCTCTCAAGTCCTTGCATTTTTTGAAGAGTTTAGCCCAACGAATCGCAGTTAGGGCCGAGGATTTTAACGAGAGATAATATTTACCAGAAGAGGTCTCTTTGTCAAAACAAGCTATCTTAGCTTCCTATTCTCGGACAAGGAGTGAAATGGAAAATAAGATTTTTTTAAAAGCCAAAGTTGAAATTATCAGCAATATAAGATTTGCATGGGCATAATAACAAGAAATTTTCTTTAAATCATTTCATGTCCTTTTATTTTTCATGACAATCAATATCGTATTTGCAGGATTGTTAGGAAACTTCAACCTAATTTTTATAAACTCTATCATAAAATTATAATATTTTAAAGTTTAATAATTTATTTGGTCGATATTAATTTTAAATATAAGAATATAAATTAATTCTACTCGATTTTATAAAGAAATAATGAATATATCTATATGTATCAGAGATTTTAGTGGGCCAGGCTAGCCCACGGTGCCCCATACCCGACCGCCTAATATCATATATTCTAGTGGGGCCAGGACAGATTTGGATTTTTTTTCAAATGGACTTGGGCTGGGCTTGGGCCAAATTTTTTAAATTTAAATTTAGCTTATTTAAAACAGTTACTAACTTAAAGAAATATTGCTAACTTTCTTCAATAATAAATTTTAGCATTGCACACAAAAGATTGCCTAAATACACATAAATATGATTATATTATTAAATACAATAAATTAAGGAATTGAGCCTGGTTTTGGAAACTTTTTTTGAAACTTATTTTAGGCTTGGGGCGGGCTTGGTTTATAATAATAGATATCGGCCAGACCTTAGCCTAAGAATATTTTTTATTGAGGGCCTGGGCCAGGCTTGATCAAAAAATTAAGGCCTATGAAGGTCATTGATATGTATGTATTACATTATACAATTTACTTAATCAATAGAGAAGTATTAATCTAAAATAACACTTATTTAAGATTATATCATCACAATTCACTTGATGTTATAACTATTTTGGAAAGAAAATAAACGAAAGTATTGTATTACTGATTAAACTTTAGGTATTATATCCAAATAAAATATATAACTTCTGTAGAGATATTATTAAATTTTTTTATATCGATTTTATCATTCTCTAACATAGGAGGTTGTGTTCCAAAATGTGTACCTCGTAGAACCTGCAGTGGACTTATTGATATTTGTCCATGCCAATGCATTGTTGGAGGTATAATATATAATTTACAAAATAATACTATATTCATTCGATTTTTGAGAACATTTTATGTTGGTTTGAAATATAATTTAAAAAATCCCTTTGTACAAATTAATTTAATAGAACTAAGGTAAAGCAAAGGCAGAAATTGGCAATGTTTTGAATATTTTATTTTGAAATAAAGTTTTCAAGCGCCATATAAATCTTTTTATTTTCTCATCTCTGGTCCCCATTGGTTATATTCTACTATAACTAATTTAAATATATTTTCAGCTTTCAGCTTCATTTCTTTACTTTAATTTTTCATTTGTTGTAATCAGATTTTGAGATTAGAAATTATTATTTGCCTTTGATGAGAAAGCTGAAAATCTTGATCAATCAGTTATGATATTGAGATAAATCGAAAATAAATTAATGTCGGGAAAGGGAGTTTCTTTGTTTAAAAAAAGGAGAATGCCATATTATACGTTGATTAAATTTTAGAATATAAATATAAATCCTTCGTTTATTTTTTAGGCCCAAAAATTAATGTAAAGAACCCATTTGAATCATGAATATTAAATTAATGTAAGAAGTTTAGAGATAGATTTAAGATTAATTTTTACATGTTTTACTTATCCTCCCTGTGCCAATCTCTTTACAAATAATGAAGCTGACAATCACCGGCAATCGATATTTCGTGATTTAGAAAAAGGAAAATATTTCTTTTAATGAAAAGCAAATGAATCATTCTTCTATTGGGTTCATGTGGTCGTAAGTTATCAGTTTGACTTTGCTCAAACGAATACTACACGTAGGATATTAAATCTAAAAAAATTCTGGTTTATCTATAAAGTTAAAGACCCTTGTTAAATTTTTTTTTAAAGGTCCAATTTTCTTATGTTATATAATATTTCCCACTTGCCCCAACACGATTCCTAGCGAGATGTAACACCCGGTTAAAGGTTGCTGTTAAGTTACGTGCTATAAATTGCTCCTCTTACTCTTAGAAACTGATTTAATTTGTTTTTATTATATTTTAATAAAAATCAATCATCACTAAATCTTTATTTTCTTTCTTTCTTTCTTTCTTATCACATTAGAATATAACTGAAGGGATGAGGAAATATTAAAAATTAATTTTTAAAGATTTTTTACATAATAATAAGACTAAAATCTTAATCGGCTCCCGTTTTTAAAAACTGGCCCAAATCGGGCTTTTAACAGCACTAATTCCTTTTATAACAATCAAAATTTATATTTTTTAAATTTTACCAAATAGATAAAATTTTCAATCTCTTAGAAGCAAATTGAAATAGCGATTTCAACCCATCCATTATTGGTAGCCAGATAGATTTTATAATTAAATTTTTCAATTTGACGATATTACACATGTATTGGAATTTTTATTTTTATCATAAAAATGTAATGTATTTATTATTTAATGTTTTTTTTGTGATAATACTGTGAATATAATAAAATGTTTATAATGAGGAGTTTAATTTTCATTTTTTTTAGTTGTCTTAATGTAGTATATTATATAGTAATATATAATGAATAATTTCGATTCAGTGAATAAGTGGGGAAATTAAAAAATTATTTCTAAACGATAAATTAATACGGATATAGTGCTTCAAATTATTATTGCACATGCTGCTAATACCCATAAAGAAACCTCTGGAGTTTTGAAAAATAAAATATTTTATCACTTACTATCGTTCTCGAGTGTCGAAAATGCTTAAAATTAATTAAAATGGGGCTGCGTTGAAGGTGGTTTGGTACAGGGGATTTATAAATATTTGTTTACCTCACGCTTTGCACGCTTAAAAATTACTTGAAAATAGATTTTAAAAAATGGGCCTATTCAGGAGGGCTACTCTTCTCCTATTCCCTAATAAGCTTAAGGGAAAAAGAAGATCGGCTATGTAATTATGTTTCTACCCTGCTATATTTTTTCTCAAAAAAACAGAATCTTAAAAATAAATTTTAGATGCATATCCAGGAGAGAAAGCCCTACCTTTCCCTCTTTATATTTATTCATCAATAACTTTTGCCAGACACTAACCAAAAGCAGAGTTATAAGCTAAATAAAAGTTAGAGACTCACTTTATCAAATTTTATGGCGATTCAAAAAAAATATTTTCATCCAAGTAAAATAAAGGATTTATCCAATTCATAATATTTTTGATTCTTGTGATTTTAGAATCTTTAAAGATATTTTTTTTTCTTTTCTATTTACTTAGATATAAAATATTAGTTATATTTCCAAAAAGATAGTAATCTGAATCTAATATTAAGACTATTATATCATAAAGTTATATCGATATGCATTATGTAAAAATTATAATTGGGAGGCATATGAAAAAATCTTTTTAAACATTTTATATATATATTACATTAGACGTTATATATAATTAAAATTTCAGGTTTTACCCCTGGACTCCGATAAAAGAACAATAATTTTCTAGATATAATTTTTTTTAGAATGAGATTCATTTTTATTATTTACACAACAATTTAGAAAAATATTTGATAAAAAAATTAACTCGGAAAATTTAATAAAAAAATAGTTTTGAGAAAATTAAATTTGATTTTTAAAAATAATCTGAGAAAATCAGTAAAAATTCTTAGCTTTCAGTATTTTTTTTTTACTTGATTGGAAAAAATTCTAAGCATTTCAGAATATTTGTTAAAATATACTTATGGCATAAAGCATATTTTTTAATTTATGATAATGAAGCGGGGGTGGGGGTAAATTTATGTGGTAAAAACTTGAACCAAAATGCCCTCTCCGTACATACAACCATGAATGATAGAAACGAAAGGCTAATTTATTTTCTATAACATCAGATAAAGGTCAAAATATATCCTTAAAACATTTCATGTTTATTATTTAAGGAACTTTGTGGGTTAATATTTAATATGTTGTTTTCCTTTTAAAAATGAATTCGCAATATATTTACTGTTCCTCAGTCATGCATGCGCTTGCGATAATGACTTCCAAATACATTCGCGGTATAAAATTAACTATAAAGGGTTCGCGACAAAAATTTCCCTATAAAGGGTTCGCTTTATAAGTTTCGCTAAAAAAATCACTCTGAAGTTTTCATGGTTAAGTTCTCGCGGAAATAAATTCGCGATTATGGGTTCGCAACATTGTCTCCGTTATAAATGTCTAATAGAAAAAAATTCGCAGAATTGGTTCTGCGATATTACCTTCGCTATAAAAGTCCTTCACGATAAAAGTTTCGCGATAAAACTTTTGCTGAATTGAACTGATGGGATAGGTGCATTGGATAGGTGTAAGGATTGATATTTTCCTACTAAACTCATTAAATAGCTTTCTCTTATAATATTTTTCATTTTATGTTATCCCAGTTATTTACAGATTTTATTCCTATCTGTATCTAGGGCATTACCCGATAAGAATTTCCTTCTGCTTTCAATGGTACCTTAGTTCACAGTCCATCTATTATTGGGCAACTGTTAGTTGAACATAAGTAAAAAATGCTTCTCATATTCATATAACTATAGAAGATTTAATTTTGTTTTGCCGATTCGAGAAATTATCAATATAATATATAGTCGTAGTTTCCTGACAATAAGTTAGTCACTGCTCATCTTCATTCTATGGCACTTACACTTTCTATAATCTATATATATTGTTGTGTCTGTTAGTTGTAAATAAATATAGACTTGAACTTCATTAAAAATATTATTAATATTTTATTCAGATGATTTTTCCCTTTATGTATCACATGGTTAAACTTGTATTAGTTTATTTTAATGTGAATAATATAGATTTTTTCTAGGTTTTAGTGATTTCGATATTGTGGGAATATATTATACGATTAAAAGATCTAATAAAGAATGTTGTTTAGAATCTATTATTTGACAATGGTTGGAAATATTTGTTAATTATTTATTATAAGATTAAAAGATCTAATAAAAAATGTTAATTTGATACATACAAATATGCCTAAAAGGAAAAACATATGAATTGATCGATTTAAAATATTACAATCTAAGGATGGACAAATCTTGGTAAAGTATTTCCAGCAGAGATAAAAGAAGCTAAGAAAATTTATGTTGTGAGTCATTTATGGATACATCGGTTTTAATTTTTTTATTCATGTTGATGTGAATTTTTGTTACAACATAATATTTTGAAGTGGATGTCTAAAGTCTAAAATAGTTGTTTCAAATGAATAATTTAGTGGGATTTTTAAATTTAAATCTAATTTGACCGGAAATGTATTTCCGCTTGTAAAAAAATATTTACTTGTGGAATTTCGGCAATTTTATTTGTGCCTAATTAAAAAGTACAAGAAAGTTTCTGGTAAAACTGTATGAAATTCATAGGGTGGGCAGGGCACTCCACGCACGTTGGAATAAATTTTTCACATTTAAAATTCATATTAACCTTTATTTTGTATAAATGTTGATATTATAATTTATAAACAGGTAGGCTAATTTTTTTAAAAATTCAGTAGGCTTAAATTTTTTAAACATATTATTTAATTTTGTGAATTAAATAATTTTAAAATTCTTGCAAGAAACAAGGCTCCAATATTTTTTTACATTAAAAAAATATTAAAATTTTATATATTTAAATTAATTTTGTTTAAACAAAAAGAACTATTTATATTGTAATTCCAACTATATCTTGACAGCTTCTTACAATAAAAATCAACAGAATGCTGCAACATTAGTTAGCAAATTTTTAAATATGGAATCTATGAGCATTCAAATGAGCTGAAAATATGTTTCTGGCTTAATATTCAGAAAGCTTGTTGATAAGGCATTGAACAATTGTGGCAGAATCAAATTTAGCCTATGCTGAAAAATATTAGAAAGCTCTTGTTACTACATTCTCCCAGGCTGATAAAATAATTTTTATTTTGGGTCAAGTTTTTTGAGACAAATAAAAATATTATTTGGGTTTTAAATTTGAATCCAGGTGGCTTGAAAAATTAGGCCCAATACACTATATAACATAGTTTGTTTTTGCAATATATTTATCTTATTTTTCTGCAATATGGTTATTAATTTTTATGATTTAAATATTTTGTAAGTAACAAAATTTATCTTTGATAATGAAATATGATTTTCTATGTGCTCATAGCCATTATATTTTTATTATGATTATCCTTCATTTACAAATTTTCAGTTATATATGTAATTTAAAATATTCAGTTATATTCATTTATACATAATTTATGGGGAGGGGTATAACAAAATTAGCCACCAACAAACCTTCTATGCCATTATTTTAAAATCTACAAAATTGTCAGATAATAGTTTAAACTTCCCAAGCTATCAATTGATATCTTAAATGCTTTATTTTCAATATTGCATTAATTATTGTTACTTTTGGTGTCTAAAACACCTTTACTTTTGTAAAAAATAAATATTTTTAATTTTGATACAAATATTAATGCTAGTTATATACTAACTAGTTTTACAAGAAATTTTAAATATTGAATATTCTTGTTAGAATAATTAAAGAGCCAGATGATCAATATATTTCATTTATTATAAATATGACAGACTAAAATATTTTATAATTTATACTAGAAAATATATTAGTAATAATTGAAATTTCATATGAATCTTGCTTGTTTATTCTTCTAATCAAACAAACCTATATTAAAGCATAAAAATATTAGAATAAATAATGAATTATTTTCAGACTGCTTAAAAGCATTTAATATCAATTCTCAATAAACACTCAGTGGGTTCTGCCATTTCTGGCGCTGAGATATTTAGAGAGTCATTTAAAATTTTCATCACAATATTTTTTATATTACCAAATCCCATATCAGCATCTGATTCTTCAGATTCTTCTTTCTTCTCTTCTTTTTTACCTGTTGATTAATTTAGATATAATGTTAAAATGTATTATTTAAAATTATATATGTTTGGAGTTAACGGGATATGATATTATTTAAAAAATATCATATACGAGATTTTCCAATTTATATTCTGCAGTTATCATATGAACTATTATATAAAAAATAGAACATGCAAATGTCTACAGGTATTTAAGTATAAAATAAATACTAGTGTATATTACTCTTTTTTTCGTCTGGTTTAGCTTCTGTTGGTGCAGGAGCTGAATCAACAGCACTTGTAGGAGCTGGGCCAGCACTTACACCGCTGCTTAGATTTGTAATCAGATCTTTAACATCCACATTATTTAACGCTTTGGCGTATAAAACTATAATCATATTTAAAAAAATACATTAAAATGATTATACCTTGCCAAAATGGTTCAATTTCAACCTTAGCTGCTTTTAAGATTGTGGATATTTTATCAGCCTATAATATAATTCAGATTTATTTTATAAATATTATATTTATATTATAAATTAAAAATATTGTTATGCCAAATATAATTTCTTTATTTATATAGATATATAAAGAACTCAATATTTGGCTAGATTATATAAAATATATAATTACCGTTATGGCTACATTATCATCACTTAAAATAAGTGCGCTGTAAATACAAGCAAGTTCTGGATCACTCATTAGAGGAAATGGTAATCAGGAAGCTTAACCTTACTTTTAAGAGTTAACAATTTAAATGTAAAAATGAACATTTTTATATATATTTAGAAATAAATAAATGTGAGAATAATAGAAATATGTATTAATTAATTATTTACGCACAAGTTGATTTCGACGTGTAATACAAATTTCGAACATATAAATTATATAATTAAGTAATAAAATATAAAAGATAAAAATTATTATAAAATTATATATTAATTTCCTTGTTTATAATTGTATTCATTTAGTTACCCTTTTGAAAAAGATAACGCACTACACAACTTTAGATTAATCGACCTCCTTTTAAACTTTGGTTTTATTTTTTTTTTATGATACAATAGTAAAATGCAAAATTATTAGTACTGTTTAAGAGCCCGATTCTGCTCATTTTTTAAAAACGGCCCGATCAAGATTAAGATTAAAATTAAAATAACATTATGTAAGCCTGAAGATTTTGCTCACAGATGGCAACAACTATTTGCCAAATCTCTAGGTTTACACATTATTATTTTGGATAAAATTTAATCGGGCCATTTTTAAAAATTGACCCAAATTGAACTAACAACACTAAAAGTCATGCTCAAAAATTTGTTTTTAATTTCTTTATGTTTTCCCATTTAATTTAGGTAATATATTATATTGTAATCAGTAACGTCACTAAGGGGAAGGGGCTTACGGCTTCGAGCCCCATAAAAAAATAGAAGAGCCCTTCAAAATTTTGATTTTTTTTATACCAAATGTAATTTTTATAATGGTTTAAAAAAATATATAAATTTGAAAATTATTTTAATAAATTATTTTAAAGCCCACCTGAGATTGCAAATTTATTAAAATAGTCCTTTAAATATTCTCCCTTTCATTTTAGAATAATACTATTTTTCAGTATATATCTAAATAACCAAAATATTTTAAAAGACAGTTCATAATAAATATAAATAGAGAGCAATATTATTTATAGGACTACCTAAATGTTTATAAAAAAACCTTAAATTTTATAAATTGTATTATAAAATTATAAAATATGTCAAAAATTTTCCTTTAGAATTTTTTAAAAGTTTTGTAAATTTTTAATAATTCTTACAAAATTATTTTTATATTTCCCATTTAATTTAAATATACTCCACTTGAAAGTATAAATTAATTTTACTTAGTATTTTTTTCATAAAAATTTTACAACTTTATGCACCTAATTAAATTTTATTTATTTCTAGAATTTAAAAAAATTTATAAATTTATGTAAATTCAAAAAATGATTTGTACCATATTTTATTTTTACATATAAATAATTCAAAATATTTTATAGCACTTCGAGTAGAAAAATTTGAAAGAAGTTTCAAATTGATCCTTAATTTTCATTAACCTCTCGCTCTTCTAAAATGTGATAAATAGTCATTTCAGAAATATTCTCAGGAAAAGATTAATTTAATATTTGATCAGTACAAATTACACGAGGACGAATAAAATAGAAAAAGTGAATAATTAATAATAAAGGGATTAAAACAATTAACTCCATCTATAATAATTCGATAACGGCCTTCACATAATTTTTAGATACATTTAGAATTCTTTTTGTTTTGCTATCCCTTGCTCAGAAACTTAACTTTGTCAAATCGAGGGATATAGCAACAAGCAGAGTTGTTAAAAAAACGCCTATTCTGGATTTGATCCTAAATTTGTCAATTTTCCCGGATTTATGATCATGACTTAAATTAAGGATCGTGATCGAGATCATTTTTTTTAATATTCGATCCTGATCCTTTTAAAAATTTATTTTTTACTTAAAAAGCAATAAATTAAATAAAAATTTTAATAATTAAATTAAAATATTATTTTTAAAAAAAATATCCGTCTACATCATATTTTATCAACTTCCATTCCACCATATTTTATAATTTGACAATTTCCTAAATTTTATCTAGAACGAGATTTAGAGCCTACAAGTTCTATTTATATAATTATATTATATATAATATAAATAAATTTAAGGTTTAATAATGTCCTCCATTATAGATTTAGAAGATAAAACATCTCCTATTGATGTGACATCAGATATAAGTCAGAATGAGAATCTTTTTCCATTTCATAATATACGTATTTTACTATATGTGAAACGGATGGAAGTATCTATACAATGATCAGTACAAAATGCTCTTTATATAAGAGCAAAATATCTTCTATTAGTAGTTCAAACCTTAAAAGGCATTTAGATTAATTTTTTTTAAATAGTTTTATTATTTATTTGTGAAGAGCATGACAATATGCATATAATAAGAATTATTTACAATAATTAATAAAATATTTATTGAATAAGGGCCAAGTTTTGCAGATACCTGATTTATATGAATGAACATTTATAAATTAATTATCAATTCTTAATATAGATTTCCTTTACTGTAAGATGACAATAACATATTGGCTTTGGCTACAATAATTCACCCAAAATTTAAGTAAATTGGCCTTATAATCCACAAAATCTGTTGGTAAAAGAAAGGTTAAATGCCCATTGAAAATATGCAGGATCATTAATAATTATTTTTATTCAAATGATGATTCAATGAATATTTTTAATATTTATGTTAATTTTAAAAAAATATTTATTAAATATAACACACCTTTGCCATCAAGCACTCCTGTGAAAAGCTTGTTTAGTAAAGTTAAACATGTGCTCAATGAAAACGTGGATGTTTAAATGATAAAAACTTAGAAAAAATTTAATTATTAAAGGCAAATTTTAATTATAAATAAATATATTCTAATTGTTATACTTATATTATATTATACAATAACAATAAATTTATACCATATTTAATTTATTTTTATATTAGTTAATTTTGCATCGATCAGAAATTTCCTTTAGAAATTTAAATAAGAAAAGGATCGTGATCACGATCCTTTTTTAATAAAAAGTCCATCCTGGATTTCGATCTTCTTTTTTAAAAAGATCGTGATCGTTTGATCTTTTTAAAAAGAGCGATTAACAAGCCGGGCAACACCAATATGACACTTATACATTACCATAAAATAATATTGAGAAAATTTAATGGGTATTTCCTATCATTTAGACTGAAAAATATATTTTACTCTCAGGAAAAGAGCCTATACTTTATTTCTTGGAAGATTGGTTGTAAAATATTTTTCCATTCCTGTAGACACTGAACAAATTTATTAATATTATGAGGGCTGATATTATTCGAATTTTATCTGCCGACAAATATTTTCTATATACTTCAAGTGCTGAGGAAAAAAGATAAATTTGCTAAGATTTGTTGGAGAGGAGAAAAAACGGTCTATGATATCAATTAAAATTTCATATTTTTTTTTAACTTTAGTGCAATTTACCTTATATATCTTTTAAGGATATAATTAGCCAACATTTAAGGAAAGTAGGGAATAAAAAAAATTGGGGATATTGTGGCGGTAAATATCGATTTATTGCAATAGAGAAATTTAATATTGTAAAATCCTTTAATTTCATTTTTCTAATTTTCAAATCTCTAACAAAAGTTACCCACTATCAATAATCATAATAATAAAAAAATCCATATTTCAACAAGCAAATATTTCATTGGCATATATTGTAAATGATAGTATATAAATATAATTTAAATCTAAGAGACTGATATGGCTGGTGGAGGTGGTATCCATATGATACCAACTTATTTTCATGAAATAGTTAAAGATTTAAAATATATTTTATTTTTTTAGATGAAAATAAAACTTTTAACTATAAAAACGAGTGTCATTATTAATACAATAAAAGGGGATAAATAAAGTTAGATTTTAATTAAATACATATTGAATTAAATATGGACAGGCAATTAATTAAAATTAAAAGTCATGTTTAAATATAAAAGGAAATTATGTTGGGAATTTAATTTAGAATAAAAAAAATGTGTTAAAATATTTATAAATTTTTAAAATTTTTCTAAAGTAATAAAAAAAAAATATTTAATATAGAATTTTTATTATCCAATAATAATACTAATTTTTCCAATTTAAAGGAAATTGAAAACTCCCAATCTTCGTCGAAAATTCAAAGGCTAAAATGAATACACAAATATTGGAACAAAGAAAAAATGGATAGTTACTAAAATGTTATTGCCTGAAAACAACAAATGAAAATCAAAAACATGGCAAAATCCGTTGAAATGTCTATGACTTCGGTTCATAAATTTCGGCGCGACACATTCCCAAAAATATATGAAGATCCTCTAAAAGAATACATTATTCAAAAAAGAGGAAGAAAAACTATTCTTTTATAATTGAAAGAGACATAGTTAGCTTATTAATGGAAAATAACAATCTTACTATCCAAGGAGATAATAGAAAATAACCCCCCCCCCCTAGTCCAAAAGAAAACAATCATTAGTAAATATATCAAAAATGTAGGTTGGTGTAAAAAAAGAACTGGCAAGGAGCCTGACAAAAGGAATACTCCCGGGGCAATTAATATTTATCAAATCTCTTGTGTAAAGATTTTATCCCAAGAGAAAACTTATATTTCTTAAATGAAACTGTAATAAACTTGCATGTTGCACTAATCTAAGCCCGACAATGTGCGCCCAAAAATAAATATCCCATTCCAAGGGTAAAGATGTAAGCATACTTTATACAAAAAATTAAAAAATATGAATATTACCTTATAACCATT